GGTCATGCCATTCTTCATAAATGCGTCTTTTAACGCCTCGGTCCATTTTTGATTAATGAGAGCGACTTTTTTTGTTCATGACAGCCGGTTGATTTACGAATATTTCTCCTTTATCACATCCCATTCTGAGCTTTTTACAAAAATGTGGTAACGCATCGGCCTCACTTGGGAGGTCCTACATCGGTACCAAAACAGCCTGGGAATCGACCAAACATAAAACCACCTTGGAGTGCAACACATCGGTAACCCAAGATCGCCTTTAGCTTAGGTAGCATAGCTTCACGTAGCTTTAGCAAGAGGTATCTTAGATCACCTTTATCGGCCCAGCCCTTCCCTCATCCGATTTAAGATCACGAAGGTATCATTTTAGAGGTGACACCTCCGCGCATGACTGCCGAGTCAACCTATACCCGAAGTAGATTTGCAGCAGTCGCCACACAAGAGAGGGGGCGGGGCCGCAAGACCAATCTCACCCGCATCGTGGTTTCTGGGCTCATTAAAATCCACCATTATCGGCGTGGGCGTTGCACGCTCTGCCAACACCAGGCGTTAGGACTTTCCTGTTTGGGCTCTACCGGGTTCATGGGCGGGGCATGCTTTTGGACGGTATAAAAGGGCAGCGGTGTGCGCGCAAAAGTGGACCCGGCCTGCACTCCATACACCAGTTTCCGATGCACGCTACAGCTAATAAAGCTCACAAGTGAAAGATATCGGGTCACATCAGGTGCTTAGGAACGGCAACATGAAGGTAAAAGTTCCATCGCCAGATCGGAGAGGAGCCAGTTTCCGGTCTGAGCAAATCGTGCATTGGTGTTCTGTGACCGTGCTCTGTCAGGCTGTTATTTTTAGCAAAGATGACCATTGGCGGGATGGGGTCCCCAGAAGCGAGTCACGCTTCCGTGACTGCTGACTGCTTTACTTAGCTCTCTCTTCACGTCCGACTTGACTTTGGCATTTGACATGGCTTCGCGCTTCCGCGTATCGTGTTTGCCCTTTGAAGCACCGCCGGTCCTGCGACCCGTGCACTGTTGCAGCGCGCGCAGCCCTTTTCACAAGGTGGGTTTCGTTTCCGCGCACGGTTTTACGACGTTCTCAGTACTGGGTTCTCAGTACTCAGTGCTCAGTTATCAGTACTCATCTGCCGTACTGGGCTTGCGCTGGCGTGAGGAACGCAACGTAAGGTGTTCGCGGCTGTGTGGCGTTCTCACAGGCCTGTGACATCTCGGGTCTTGTGACGTGCTGAGTCTGCCTTGGAACGTGCTGAACCTGCCCTGTCACGTGCCGAGCCTACCCTGTGATATGCTCACAAACTCCGTCTTCTCTGTTCGCAGCTGTTCGCTCTCGCCGTGCTTGTGGCTGCCGCCGCCGTCAGCGGAGACCGCTGTGGCGGCCACAGCTACGGCTACGGCTACGGCTACGGCCGTCACCGCGGCTACGGCGACGACTACGGGCTACGGCTACAACAGCCACGGTGGCGGCTACGGCAGCCACGGCGGCGGCTATGACAGCTACGGCAAGCGGCTACGGAAACCACGGCAGTGGCTACGAGAGATACGGCAGTACCCACGGCATGCGCAGCTAACGGCCGCGGATACGACAGCTACGGCGACGACTATGGCTACGACTACGACCACGATGGCGGCTATGACAACTACGGCAGCGCTACGCAGCCACGGCGGCGGCTATGGTAGCCACAGGAACGGCTACCGAAGCCATAAGGGCGGTTTACGGCAGCTACGGGCAGCGGCTACGGAAACCACGGCAGTGGCTACGAGAGATACGGCAGTACCCACGGTCATGCGCAGCTACGGGCCGCGGATACGACAGCTACGGCGACGACTATGGCTACGACTACGACCACGATGGCGGCTATGACAACTACGGCAGCGGCTACGGCGGCCACGGCGGCGGCTATGGTAGCCACAGGAACGGCTACCGAAGTCATAAGGGCGGTTACGGCAGCCACGGCAGCGGCTACGGAAACCACGGCAGTGGCTATGAGAGATACGGTGGTAGCCACGGCAATGGGCAGCTACGGCCGCGGGTACGACAGCTACGGCGACGACTATGGCTACGACTACGACCACGATGGCGGCTATGACAACTACGGCAGCGGCTACGGCAGCCACGGCAAGGGCTACGGCAGCCACGGTAGCGGCTACAGATACCACGGCAGCGGCTACAGAAAGCATGGCAGCGACTACGGATACCACGGCAGCGGCTACAAAAGCATGACAGTGACTACGGATACTACGGCAGCGGCTACAGAAAGCATGGCAGTGGCCACGGATACCACGGTAGCGGCTACAGAAAGCATGACAGTGGCTACGGATACCACGGTAACGGCTACGGAAAGCATGACAGCGGCTACGGATACCACGGCAGCGGCTACAGAAAGCACGGCAGCGGCTACGGCGGTAGCTATGGTGGCAGCATGTACGACACCCGTTATGGCGGTAGGCATGGCATCGGCGGCGGCAGCTACGGCAGCCATCGCGGCGGCTACGGCAGACGCGACGGCGTCTACTACCTCAACGACTACGGCAGGGAGTATGGCAACAATCACTACTACAGTGGCTAAGGCTACGGCTGCGATGGCGGCTGCGGCGGCGGCTACAGTGACGGCTATGGCTACGGCTATCATCACCAGTCGTAAGGAAGTGGACGCTAATGGTGTTGTTTTTCCGTTGGTCCAGCAGTTTTGCTCCAGAAATGAGATGAGAATAAAAAGCCCAATAACCGGCGTGTGCATTCTGTCCCACCATGTCCCGTTTCTCAAAATAACGTACATTGCGTGTCTCGAGTGGTGAATGAGAATGGCATAAGCGAGCTCAGAAATGTTACCAGCAAACAGTTGAAGGACGCTGCTACCTGAGTCAATCACAGACTAGTGCACCTAGTTTACTAGTTTACTTTCTAGTTTACTGGTTTACTCGCTAGTTTACTAGTTTACTTTCTAGTTTACTAGTTTACTTTCTAGTTTGCTAGTTTACTTTCTAGTTTTACTAGTTTACTTTCTAATTTACTAGTTTACTTTCCTGCATGGTTTCCAGCTTGATAAAAGTTACTTGCATGGAAATTGTTATCGGTGGTAAATGTGTTGAGATTATGTGCAGACCTGTGCACTGCATTTTGATCTGGTAAGTATGCCACTTATAAAATGACTGATGCGTGCAGGAGCATGCATGATATTGCTGACACCTGTGTGTTTAAACACGGACCATCGTTTCCGTTATATCGTAGAAAAGTTTGTATAAATCACTCTGCACGCTGTCCGATTCCAGTATGAGTGGAAAGCGTCGGTTGCCGTTGAAAACGGTGGGGAAAAGTTCGCAAAAGTTTGGTGTCTCGATGTAAAAATCGGATGGGCTTTTAAGGGAGCCCTCTGGTATGGTACTGAATGAACAAATAAACCACTCGTGATTTGGCAGTTCCTGTCCTGTTACCATCCAGCCTTTGGCGCTCAGTTTAAGATGTGCCATAAACCACAGGTATGCTCTGGTTTTCTCTGTGAAAAGCATTTATCTGAGAACCAACGTTGAGCAAAAGAGCTCCCCCCAATTTATTCCAACGGGGGGGGGGGGGGGGGGGGTAGGGGTAGGCCGAGCCGTGCGCCTGTCTGCTGACGCGTCCTGGGGAACGCCAATCCACCTGTCGAAACCTCGCTGACGTAAGCCCGCGGCGGAAATCTTACCTGATGACGGGGAAGGCCGTGAAACTTGAATGCAGGGGTGAAAGGGCCTCTGATTTACGGGATATGATCGGTGAGAAAACGGACACTTTTGAAGATATTGGGTGACAAGATTGAGAACATGAAAGCAAATTGCAACAGGTCAGACTATATTACAACAGACCATTCGAGCCAGACGAAACTGTAAGTTTACTTTTGGTCTGTACTGACGCTTGCAGCGTGGCATGTGTGGCGCGCGTGTCGAAATGTTGACGTTTCGTTGCATGAGCAGGTTGAGTCATAATGCGTGACCGAACGCAGGAGCTTAATTAGGATAGCTTTCAGCGGATGATAGACATACACCACGAACTATGCTATATCAGTGCTGACACCACAGATCAGTGGTGCCGCAGTTACCGACACCTCTCAGATCACTGTTTTTGTACATAATTTTCAACCAAAATCCGCTTTACATACTAGGCAGCATGAAGTACCAAATAACTAGGCTTATTACTAGTCGAAGGAAACGTGACTAGCCACATCATCCTGCGACGAACGCGATCAGTAGGGTCAACGCGTTACCGCGCGGCAAGCACTCGACCCCATCTGCCTCAAATGGCATGACGCTTTAAAACGCTGCGTAGCAAACTGGTCACATTCGTCGCATGATGCTGTGGCCAGCCACGATTCTTACGACTAGTAATAAACCCAGTTATTCGGCATTTCATGCTGCTTAGTGCGTGAAAAATATGCAAAAAACACTTATCTAAAGGACATTAGAAAAGCATGGTGTCACCATTGATCTGTGACGTCAACACTTACCTGGTATAGTTTGTACGGTATATTTCTGTCACCTGCTAAAACCTGTCCTGATAAAAGCTACTATGCTTGGTAGCATTTCATGGCTCAACTTGCTCATACAGCGAAACCGACGACGTTTCGACGTGTGCTCTACACATGCTCACGCTGCAAGTGCTAGCGAATACAGACCAATTGAAATCGTTGAGTTTCGTCCTGCTCGGATGGTCTGCTGTAATATGGTATGGTCTGCTGAAATTTGTTTTCATTCTCGCAATTTTGTCATCAATTGGCTCGCAAAAGAGTCAGTTTTTGACAGCGATCATATCCGGTAAATCAAAATCTTTTCCATCTCTAGCTACTGCCTCTTGTATCATGTATCTGTGATAAGCTCGCGCTGAACCGTCCAGAACTGTGTATTGTGTAGCTTCCAAGACTATTGTTATTCCAAAGAGGTATTTGACCTCAATTGTTTAATGCAGCTAAAGCCAGCCAACTCTGAGTCGTAATGCATATTGCGCGTTGTGGAAAGCCTACACATCTGCAAATCTGTCAAATGAAGTCCAACAACAGACAGGCGGGTTTCCTCGGTGTGCGTCTGGCCACCGGCGGCTCAAGTGACAGATCTCAATGGGAATTTCTAACTTAATTATGTTCGTGGTCATATTCGTTGCATTTACAAATCATTCCAGCAAGTGGCTTGCTTGGTTCGGTACAATTATAATAGTCGCATGGGCGCAATATTAAAACATAACGCGACCAACTTCGCAAGTTACTGACCATCCCTTCGTTCACGCAACTTCGTCAAAAACAAAACCATCAATCAAGGTCAAAATCCTCGAAAACATGCCACGAAACGGCAACTAGGCGATGATTACACAACGGGACCGTCTACATCGTCGGGACTGGCGAGAAGCTTCCCGTGGATGCGAGAGGCAGTGATGGTCGGCGACAGGCGGCTCCAGGATAAGGCCGCGCGATACGGAAAAGACCTGTGTGGCACCGACAGGCGAAGAGCTGGCAGATCCAGGGCGCCCGTCGCTGCCGCGCGGGTGGCACACTGGCGTACAGCGGTACGTGGGTGAACGGGGAGCGACTCTCCACCGGAGCCCGCGAGTCCCTTCGGGCCCTGGATACAGCGAAGCTGTCACGGTGGGTGACAAGATAGCAACACCGTGCCGGCCCAGCGCGTGAACATCCATCGCCATTGGATCGCACCGACGAGCATCGGTGGCGATCCTGGCCTCACAGCTTATAAACCCCTGCACTCTTTTGATGTGACACGCTGCAGCCCCACCCCAGAGCGATAGGCAGTACAGAAGATGAGGGAAAACCTAGGACTGGATGAGAGATTTACGAACCTCGGGGGTTAGGCTGTGCATTTTTGTGAATCTTATATAACTAGAGAAGGATGGGGTTACAGTTCTTGACAACATTGGATATGTACATCTCCCAGGGAAGCATACTCTTAATAGTACCCCATCCCCCTTCCCCAGCATCTTTGTGGACGGCGAAGGCCTTATTTCGTTCTGCTTAATGTCAAGGTGAAAAGATAAGGCTTTCTTCAAGGATAGAGAAATGCACCGAGAAGAAGAGTTGTTTTCGTGGGATTCATTTTAAGGGAAATAGATGTGAAGTAGGATGGTGATGATTTAGATGGTTTTCTCCTTTCCTGGTTTCAAAACGGATAGTTGGTCTGGATAAGCAGGGCTTAGCAGTTGGGTGTCATCGACATATGACACAAGACGTCTGTGAGGGAGGCAAGATGGAAGGTTATTCGTGAAGATGCTGAAAAGGACATGGCTGACAAAGAATCCCTGGCGAGCAGAAGGCAGAGATTCTACCTCTCATCACGTATCGTCAACCACCTTTTCCCTAATCTGGTCGTTCGCTTTTTTCTCTTTTCTGCTCTGCTTTTTGTTTTGTTAGAGACGCCTAGCTCTCGCCGAATCGCGTCCAGCGCGCATGCACAGTCCCTCACAACCGCGCTTTCTTCTCCCCATTCGATGTTGCTTCACCTAGTTCGACGGACTGGATGGTCTCCTGTGGCATCCGTGCATGTTCAGGCTCGTTTTCCATTTAATTGTCTGTTTGCTTTCCTTCTCTCCCTTTGTTCCGTTTGGGGTGCGCTAAACTCTGACCAGATCCCGTTCAGCGCGTCGGCGCGGTCTTCACCACACGCGCAGTGTCCCCTACCTCGCTTCACCGCTCATCCGTTCCGAAGGATTACCTGGTGTTGTATGGCATCCGTACGCGTGAAATTTGCCCTTTTTTGTCGCTCGTCTCGTTTAGTTCGGTGCGGTCTAGCTCCGTGCAGCGCATGCGCCGCACGGATTCTTTCAACGTGCGCGCGTGTTCCCATTCCCTATTCTCTGATATATATATATATATATATATATATATATATATATATATATATATATATATATATTCTATTACGTGCTACTTGACCCGGCACCATTACTGGCTGATCGGCGCACGGTGTCCACGCTCGGTTGGCAAAAGTCCCTCTCGTTTGGGATGGATCCGCTACGGACACCTGAGCCTCGGCGCGGAGGAGTATGGCGTCGAACATTCCGAAACGGACGGAACTCCGGGCCGTTAGCTAGCGGCTGGAGACAGATCGCCGGCCGTGGGTGCCGAGGCGTCGCGATGTGGTGCGCCGAGCCCGCTACATCTCGAGGGATCATCCGCGACTCCGTGAGACCAGGGGAGATCGCTTCCGACGCTCCGACCGGGATAGCGCTCGTAAGGAGACACAGACGCCATCTACCAGTCGACATTGGCAATCGCGGCAGAGGGCAGCACCCGACGGTGCGCAGGGGCGGCGCGAGCACCCGCGCCCCGCCGGCAGAGGACGGCACCGTGCGGCGTGGACGGACGAGGCAGCCCAGCGCTCGTGACCCGCCGGCAAGTTGCGGGGTCGCGCCACACGCCGAGCGCGTGGGATTCGAACTCACTAAAGCCACGCGCAGACGTGAGGCCAAGGACGCGCGTGGGTCGGGCATGAGACGAGCCCATTCGACGAGTCCATTCGTGTCGGACGAGTCCATTCGTCACGACGATACCTCCTGTCGCAGCGCGTATTTTTCGTTGCTGCTTTTATTTGATGCGTTTTGGCTTCCTTGTCGCAGTCCCTTTTTGTTGGCCTGAAATCCAAGGGAGTGCTGGCTGAGTCATCGATGCGAGACAAAGCGTGGAGCCTTCAGGAGCAGGAGAGAGCGAACGCAGCCAGTCAGCTGTCGGGTGCGGGCCCCGGGCCTGCTCCCACGGGAGAGGTAGTCCCTCCCCCCCCCTCGAAAGCGTGTGAAAGCTCCCTCATGCTACTCGCAAAGAGACCTGTCTATGGTCCTCCGCCACCAGCGCCACATAGGACCACGGCGTCGCCGGCGCCGGCCCAGTTTAGGACGGGGCACCCGGAAAAGCGTAGACCGCCGGGGCCGATTTCGCCAACAGATAGCGGTAGTCTCCGGATCCAGCCCAGGATCCGCCTGATCTCTTTGGGTTCTCAAGACAGCACCAACAACCATGGGCCAGGCTCTAGCGCTGCTGAGTTCTTTTAAAACCTTACAGTGCTTTTAAAGCCTCTTCATTCAGTCAGTTTTACAGTGAAACTGCAGAGGGGTAAGGTCAAGCACCCAGGACTTGCAGACAGTTTTAAGCGCGCACTGCTCGGTAGCCGTGTGTCTCCAGATTTCAACCGTCGCACCATTACTGTCCGCTCTCTCTACTTGCCACCTGGGGTTTCATTTCAATCTGGAGGACTACGAGAGTTAGTCTCTCAGCTTCCTCCCCCTCCACTCGTTTTAGACGATTTTAATGCACATCACACTGTGTGGTGTGTGCTTCCGCGAACACTCGCGGTAGGCTATGTGAGGCTTTCATGCGTGACGAAGGTTTGTGTGTTTTAAATACAGGGGCAATAACGCATTTAACATTGCCATCAGGACAATCGCCAGTGCCTTTGTAGTCCGCAGCTGGTACCAAACTTCACCTGGGATGCTTCAGAGGACCCCCTTGGAAGTGATCATTTTCCGGTCTGGGTTCGTTACCGTGGTGGTGCTGTTCTTGGTACTCGACCTCAACTTTGGAATTTCAAGAATGCGGACTGGAGTGGATTTGAAACCTGCCTGGAGGGAACCTTTTCTAGCGATTTCGACTCCGCAAATCCGACTGCGGAGGAATTTACGTCTCTCGTTTTGGGTGCGGTGAAAGGATGCATTCCGCGCACCTCTGGATGCCCTCGTCACACCCCTGTACTTTGGTGAAGCGACGAGTATCGCGACGCTATTCGTGCATGTCGGAGAGCTTTTAGGGCTTTTGACCGGCACAGCAGCACATTAAACCCCATGACTTTTAGGCAAGCACGCGCGGCCGCGCGCCGCACTATACGAAAGGCGAAACGTGTATCATGGCGCACCTACGTCAACTCAATGAATCGGCACACGCCGATGTCACATGTATGGGGCCGCATTAAAAGAATCGCCAGACTGCATCTACCAGTTTCCTTTCCCGTGCTGCGGGTGGGAAGTCAAGACGTCACTCACCCAAGTGATGTCGCGGAAGCCATTGGGGAAGCCTTGTGAGACCGTTGCCGAAATGGCACCTGCGATCTACGGTTTTTGCAGCATCGGGCGCGATGTGAAACTTCGCAAGTTAATTTTTATACAGGGGACATCCTGATGTACAACAAGCGTCTCACTGTGGTAGAACTTGAAGCGGCCATTCGCTCGCTGCGTAGTGTAGCGGAGGGGTCCGACATCATCCACAGTGATATGGTACGGCATTTTCCTCCCCGTATACTACGAGCACTGCTGGCAATTTTCAACTGTACATGGGTGTCAGGTAAGGTCCCGCCAGCCTGGCGAGAGGCCATAGTGGCGCCTATTTTAAACCTCCGGAAAAGTGGAATGAACGCCCTTGACTATCACCCGATCGCCCTCACGTCTTCGCTTTGTAAGCTCATGGAAAGAACGGTGAATGTGCGGCTCTCGCGGACTTGAGAACGTCAAAACTCGTTCACGAATGCTCAGTGCGAATTCCGTAAGAACAGGGGCACGATCGACTACATCTTAAATCTTGATTCCGCACTGCGAGCCGGCTTTATTAGCAAACGTCATACCGGCGCCATCTTTTTTGACATAGAAAAGATTGTGATGCCACATGGAGACATGGAATTCTGATGAAGTTGCCCGATTGTGGCCTTCGCAGTCACATGGGAAAGTTTTTACCGAAATTTTTGACCGACAGATTCTTTCGGGTGCGTGTTGGTTCATGTCCCTCCGACAGGTATCCGCACGATAATGGTGTGTCTCAGGGCATCGTATTAAGCGTCATTATTTTCGCCGTGATGATTAACGACATAGTGGACACGCTTCCACATGGGATCAGCTGTTCTCTGTTCGTAGAAGACTTCGCTATTTGGTGTAGCTCATCGACCACTCTCACGATGGAGCGACAGCTGCAGCTGGCTGTCACACGTCTGGAGTAGTGGAGCGTGGTTTCCAGTTTTCCACATCGAAGACAACTGCAGTCCATTTCTGTCGTCGTCGCTGTCACTGTACTGAAATGGAAATCACGCTGTATGGGCAACGCGTCGATTATGACAGTACCGTGAAATTTCTCGGTATACTATTTGACCGACGCCTAACATACCGTGAGCATATAAGAAATCTCCGCGGCAAATGTTTAAAATCTCTTGACATCCTAAGGTGCGTAGGACGTACATCATACGGTGCTGACAGAAGGACACTCTTACTCCTATATCGTTTGCTTATTCGCTCAAATCTTGACTACGGCTGTTTTATCTATGATGGTTTTTCAGACCTGATCAAAAGTACTTCGAACACGGTGCATCACGCCGCACTACCTATTGCCGTAGGGGTGTTTCAAACATCGCCCATAGATAGCCTTCTGGTGGAGGCTCACGAGCCCCCGCTAGCATTGCGAAGGCAGATGCTGAGACTGCGCTACACGTGTAAGCTGGCGCAGTTCCCAGATCATTCCACCTACAAAGTAGTTTTTTCGCGTGGCTCACGAAGGCTTTTTCTACGTCAACGGTCTCTACAAACTTCTCCCTTTTGTGTACGAATGATGGAACTTTTAGATGCAAGCGTCTTCAACCTACGACGTGTTATGAGACCTAAACCCATGATGACTGCTTCTTGGGAGCTAGCATCGCCAAGAGTGGATGTTTCGCTATCAAACATGCAAAAGCAACGCGTTCTCATGACGGAACTTTAAGGCGCAGCCTTAGAGCACATCGCCTTCTTTGACCTCCTCAGACGTGATCAAACGTACTTTGAACACGGTACATCACACCTCACTACATATCGCCACAGGGGCTTTTCGAACATCGCCCATAGATAGTCTTTTCGTGGAGGCTCACGAGCGCCCACTAGCCTTGCGAAGGCTGATGCTGAGACTGCGCTGCACGTGCAAGCTGGCATAGTTCCCAGATCATCCCACCTACAAAAGCAGCGTTTTCGCGTAGCTTACGAAGTTTTTTTTCTACGCCAGGGGTCTCTACAAACTTCTCCTTTTTGTGTACGGATGAGAGAACTTTTAGACGCGAGCGGCCTCAACCTACGACGTGTCATCAGGCCTAAACCCATGAAGACTGTTCCTTGGGGACTGCATCACGTACTGGTTGATTGCCGTCACCTTACTGCAACGAGAGTGCAGTTTTTCGGACACCACGTCCAGAGTCGCACGCTATGTCACTTTTTAGCGGATTCTTCGCACGCTGTGGTGTTTGGTAAAGTGCTCCAGTTTCTTCGCGCCATAGATATCCCAGTTATCTTTTCATCATGATACTAGGCTTGATCATCAAGGCTTGAAAGGGCGACTTGATTGATGCATTCGCCTGATTGGTGGCTCTGCATAAATTGATAGTTATGGGCGCTGCATGACCTACAGAAGTCAACCCTTCAAAACCCCAAATCATCATCATCATCATCATCCAACATTTTACCTAGGAGAAATGGAGAATGTCCATTGCCCAGCAGCAAAGTCCATAATTTGTTTATACTCTATTTTACTTTTTGACTACTTGAGTTGTTCATGTAATGCGCTATGGAAAAGGTTACGAATCCTATTGTGCTTAGTGGAAGTTGAGTGCGTAGATTTGCAATGCAGAACTACACCAGAGTTGACAGGCTTGATAAAGAGCTCAGTTCCTTACGTTGTGTGGTTGTTCCTCCTTTCAACCGTCACTAGTATATCCAAATATAGGACGCGTTTCCGTCTCCTGCGTACCGCATCGTAAAAGCTCAGTTGGTATTCTGATTGTTCCTAACTTCCTAAAATTATTCAAAGGCACATTGTCCGTTCGCCAATACTCCGTACGCTGCTTACATCAGATTTTAACGTCTGTTGACTACAAGGTCGTGCACTGCTCATTATTCCATGCTACGTGCAGCCTTAGCTGTCCTCCGATAGCGGTCTAGGACATGTGCTGCGTGACGTTTAAAATACGCTGGCAATATGCGTGGTGATAAAATTTGGTCAGCTTCAGGTCATATGACAATTAGAGACACTGAGTTCTGCAGAAAAGGCGGACTGTTTCAGACCATATAACATGTGCCATATCACGTAGACAAAACATATGTCATATCACGTAGACTTAACAGATGCCATATCACGTAGACACATAATTTGCCATATGACGTAGAGCATAAGCGTATTTGCGTGTGCACATTTTAGAATATATGGAAATAATTCAAAACATTTCAAACAAATCGCTTTTTTGAGAACGACTTTTTCACGGAGCCTCACGGAGCCTTTTCACGGTCTGCCTCGTTATTGCAACCAGTCTGTTCAGTTATCTGCCATCCACAGGTGGATTGGCTTTCTGGAAATAAATCGCATTGCGCAGGCAATATGCGAACGGATCTTCCTTGACAGACGACGACGCTTGAGGATAAGGAAAGAAAGGCACACACTTGTCGGGTTGTATTGCAACGAGGCATTCACGTCTAAAGCAATAGCATATAACCGGAAGCATCGTGCATGGTTTCCCCGGAATTTTGCGTTTCGCAATTCATCAATTCATCAATTGCAACGATCGTCAATTGTTATGTACAAGTTCGAGCATTTTCTTTTTGTTAGCTGTCACCAGAAATACATGGCATTGAGCTGCGTGTAAACAGGATGCGTAATGACGCCTTAAAGTGTTGTAGACTGTTCAGCGGTTGGCGGCTGGCTACGCAGCCGCGAGAACGGACACCATAGTTTTAATTGCCGGGACGTGGAATTCGTCCCGGGACGTCCCATTGCCCGGGACGTGCGCGTTTATTTATCAAATTATTTCACATCATGTTTGGAAACAAATTAGAAAGCGAACACCTGCTTATGGCTGTAATGCACGACAAGTTCACAAAATGTGACGAAATTTATGTCGCCATGAATGATCGACAAGAACGCATACGTAACGTCCTCAGGTTGCCGAGAAACATGAGATCTTTCAGTCTTTTCATACACGTTCTGCTATCGTAGAAACATAAACATGAGCTTATGGAATAAAGTCTCTCAGGAAATTTAGGTGCATTCCATCGCAACGTGGCTATGAGGCAATGAAACTTGCATCATTACAAACCGATTCTAATTTCCCGTGTCCATTCACGCGCTGCTGGAATCGGAAGCATTATTTCATTTCGGTGCATCAACACAGGGCATCGATGGTTTAGAACCAGGCGGTGACTCAGCGATATGAAGTGGCGGCAACTCGGCTACCATTTCAACGTTCCAAAACAGATGCTGAATCTGCTCCAGCGAGAGACCCTTTGTTTCCTTCAGGCAAAATGTGGCAAAGAACACCTGGCACAGGCTTACCAGCGAGTGGATGACGAAGCCTCCACCCAGACCAATCCCATCTCTGATTAGTGGGTACAATTTTAGCAGCACAAATACATTCAAATTCAGCACAACGAGGACGATGTTCGCGCCCAAGGCGCGCGTTTTGTTGGGCAGCAACTCGGTGACGTAGTTGAATGCGACGTTGGCGAGCATGCCGACAACGGCCACCTGCGTCAGCCCAGCGCCCGCCAGCACAATCCAGCCGAGACGCTGCTGGGACTCCGGGGCCAGGAAGAAGTACGCGGCGACCGCAGCGCAGCCAATGGCAGAGAGCACGCCGCCCAGACGCAGCACCGGTAGCCGGCCGTATCTTTCGATGATGATGCCGCCGGGCACGCAGACGACCGCAGCGAGCGCGGCTGGCAGCATGGCTCGCTGGTACTCGCTTAGCGGAAGCCGCACCGACGCCAGCACGAAGGCGGTGATGAGCATCAGCGTGGAGCTGCCGCACCAAGGCAACAGTACCATCTGGATGAAGACCAGTGACAGCGGACGCCACGTGCCCGGCTGACGCAGCAGCGTTCACATGGGCAGTGCGGCGCCGTCCGCATGTGCGTGCTGCAGTGAATCGTGGATACTGCATATCTCAGCAGCGGCGTCCACCTGCATGCCACGAAAGAACTGGATGGAGCGCACGGCTTCCTCCTCCGAGTGGCCGCGCGAGAGCAGCCACTTGGCCGAGTTGGGCAGGAAGAGGAGACCGGAGAGGCAAAGCGCAGCCGGCACCACGCCTACCACGATGAACAGCACCTGCCAGTGCAGCAGCGGCGCCACGGCCACAACCAGCACCTGGGCCAGGTAAATCATGAAGTTCGACAGGGCGCTGAAGAGGGCACGGCGCTTGGGCGGCACAATCTCAGACACGTAGCCACGCACGCTGCCCTCGGGTATGCTGAGCGCAACGAACATGGCCACCCGTCCGCTCAGCGTCCAGCCGAAGTGGCCGCCGAGGCCGACCGCCAGCGAGCCGAGCGCGTACAGCGGCATGGTGAGTAGCAGCAGGCGCCGCACGCCTAAAACGGGCGCCACCGGCGCGCCCATCAGGCCGCCTAGCATGCCACCCAGCGAGGTGGCGGCGATCGACCAGTTGAGCTGGTCGGCGCTGAGAAAGCCGTCAGGATCGCCCGGCACCTGGATGAGGGTGACGCTGTTCATGCCGAAGTTCAAGCCGAAGGCCAGCAGCAGCTGACCCATTACCACCAAGGCCAACACCTGCAAGCAAGAATAGATGCTATGATGATGGTTTGTCTTTTTAATAGCTGTCTCCTGATATCCGAGACCGCAAAATATTGCGGTCTTTTGTTCTTGTAAATTATGTTTCCTTTTAAAGTGTCCCTGAACTATCCTAGACGTCCTTACGATCATTCTGGGACTGGCCTTTGAGAGCGTCTGTCACGTCGTCCTCCTCATCAAGCTGGAATGGTGTGGGGTATTCTCGGAATGGTTCCGGAACTACCTGAGCGGTCAGAAGCGGGTGGCCAGTAGTGGCTCGTTACCTTATTTCTATCCGACGGGGTGGCCAGGGATCCTTTGTGGGCCCAATCCCGTTCCTGATCCTCATCCATGACCTATCCAGCTTCCCACCCCACGGCCGCCTACTATCCTACGCCGATGACACCCAGCCACTGGTTTCAGTCAAATAACCCTCAAATGAGCCCCAAAAGACAGACTTTATGCCGATCGGCACCAAGCCCTCTACCACAAAAGCCGGCAACTTCCACCTCGCCATATCTGACACAAACATTCATCCACGACCAACACCCCACCTGGGAATGCAGGTGCATTGGTGAGGTGTTACACACCTCCTCTCTCGTTCGGCACTGTGAAACAATCCTCGTATCCCTGTTCAAAATCCGACACCATTTCACTCCTGAGGTTTTGAAGCTCCTTGTCGAAATCCACGTCTTCCCCCACATCATCTCCTACCTGTCCATCTGGGGTGGAGTCCGCTAACTAGACGGGATGCAAAAGGAGATGCGCTTCACAGCCAGGCTAGTGAGCGGTGTCCGCCGCAGCGATCACATTTCACTCGTTCTGGACGCGTCCGGCTGGTGCAGCGTCGCTGATCTTAAACGCCACCGGGACTGCCTGAACATGTGCAGGGCACTTCACGTCCCCCATTCTCCCAGTGCACTGCATGCTCTATTCGTAGCGCGCGCCGAGTATTCCCAGCGCCAACTCGTATTGTTTCGGGCGGTGTCGGCTCGCTGCACTGGGCGCAAAATGACCCTAGAAGTCGACGCGCCCTAAAACCCACATCATCATCATCGGCTCGCTGCATCTGCCACGCTTCCGACTGCGCGGCCTGACGTCTTCAGACGTTGATTTTGTGAGGATACGCTAGTCTGTCTTATAGCTATTAGATATTTGATTCTCATAGAACACCTTGATTAGATTTGTTTTATGTTCGATAGCATCAGTTTTTGCATGATGTCGTGACATAGAGCTGGTGGTCTCATGATCGTTGGCACTGTAAGAGCGCCCACTCTTTACTAGGAATTGTTTGATGCACTACACTTCACTGTGTAGTTGCATCCAATCAGAGCAGAGATTAAGGACTTTTCAGAGGAAGCAGCGCACTTCACCGATCTTGTACCGGTCGGGGCTTTTGCACCGAGGCATCGTCCAGCATTTGTTGGCATGTTGTGCCCTGTCGTCACGAATCGCTATTGGTCAAGGGTGATGTCTATGTATCAAAATGGAATGCGGTTATTGACGTTTAGCTCGTAAGTGAATCGGAGAAGTGAAGCTTGCTCCACTGTGTTGTTTAGTTCGAGCGGTTGGCTTTCGTTATTGACGTCTATGAAAATGCTCTCGACATATCGTGCGTAAAGTGCGGGACAGAGAGACGCATTTTCAAGGACTTTGATGGAGTCCCCTGGGACTACTTTTTGCGAACGCCTACATATGCCACGTGGAGAACAAAGTCCTTGAAAATGCATCCCACCGTCCCGCACTTTACGCACGACAAGACGATGACATTTTCGTAGACGTCAGTGACGAAAGCCAACTAATTAAACTGAACAATGCAGTACGGAGATAGATGTAATGCTGCTTTCGCTGCATGTCTTTATCAAAACTAGTATCAGTAGCAACTTCAAAATTTAATCTAACATTCTACCAAAAAGTCGTGGAGAATATCCATTGCCTGACAGTAAGGTCAATATCATATACGAATAACAATATACACAATAACAAAATCCATCGTTTTTTCCGTTTCAGGCAGCCTAGAAACCCAGTTTAAACATGCATATACCAATCGCTGGGACGCAACCAAAGGCGCCCACGAGGCAACACATCTCATCAGGTTTGGAACATGCCTAAGGTGTGGTGGAGAGTATGGTCATTATGACTGGAAGTCTTAATCACCTTTTCACAAAGCGCATACGTCTTTTCCATAAGGGGAGATGGTCACCAAGAGGCCCACATGTTGGAGGCCACCCCCAGTGTTGGCTGCCACCGGTTGGAATTTTGTCACGTACTTCCCTGCCCTGGATGTCGAACTCCGCTGTTTTTTCGCGGTCAAGGTCGGCAAATCCAGTCGTAAATCCAGCTTCAACGTGAGGCCCCGTCAAGTCCCGAAGGTGAAAGACGGCTGCTTTTGTAATAGGACTATCCTTTTGTCCCTGGCAGGTGTGTCCGGATTCTTTGTAGCACCACTTATCCTGGAATTGGCTGAATGCCATTGTCTAAATGAACATTTTGGACGCGTGCATGATATCGAAAGTTGCAGTTATGAAAAGGGCCCTCGGTAATGCGCCGATTCCTGATAACGCTACCGGGTATGGACGTCGTTGTCATTTGATGTCATATGGTATCACGTTACGCTACTGCCGACAATTTAGCTGCAAAAACGCGACCGGCAGCAACAAAAAAAACGAACAAAAAAACACTCACCACCTCTGAATAAGAATTGCGAGCATATTTCCCGTGGGATCACAATATAAATGGAACCATTCCGAGTCCAAATCACGCTTTCAATCTTCCGCGAGTTACCTGTTTAAGAGTCCTTTGCATTTCGGAACTGAACTGGTGCACGTCTTCGTTTCAACACGCCATGTCCGCGCGGACTAGCAGGCAGCTTCAGACACACGATGATCTGTAGATGGCGCTGGTCCAAAATCGCGCACTGCCCAACAACCGGTCGCCGGCTGGGCGTCATTCTCTGAAGGCTTAAAGCGAAGGCATTCCGTAAACCAGATGTCCTCAAGGCTTCGTTCGGTGATCGGCACATGGGGACTGCTGCGCGGGGGCTTCGCCGTAAGTTTGATTTTCACATGCTCTATACATGGGAATGACGTCGCTGGTTTAGTGACCGCAACACGGCGTGGCCGCAAGCCATCAGGCGGAGCACCGCGGCAGGCGTTGTAAAACCTGTCAATTTGGTGGATAAGGTCGGTGACAAGAAATGTATGTATCCACGCGAAGCTTGGTGCCAATAATTAATGTCTCCTAATGCCTATAATGCCTCCATGGTAATGCATTTTGTCACATAACACCAGCGAACGATTCCGTAAGACTCTTTACCGTACTCAACGGCACTATGGTATCTTTTCTAGGTTTCATTCTAACCCGGCGACAAACATATCCTGTGATTTTTAGTTGGTCGGCGGACTCGGTCACAGGTCGGCGGACTCGGTCACAGGTCGGCGACACATCAGTGTATTTCCATTGTCCGTTCGGTCGGCCACTTGGCTGTTTTAGCAGCCGACCCCCACTGTCCCGAACTAGACAGTGTAATATACTGAAAATATTTAGATATGGAAATTCATCTGGCCGCAAGATCATAATTCATTTGTTGCAATGCGACCCATGTGAGGTGGGCGGTGACTTTCCATGCACCGCAACTTTGCAAGTGGCATTCGCATAACAGTGTCATGAATACCTGTCTAGGGTTTAATTTTTGACTTTATATATTTCGTTGGCGGTGCCGCGAATCAGCATCTGCTTTCAGCGACAAGAGGCATTGACAGGTCAGGGTAAGTCGGCGGATGATCTCATCGAGGTAGAAATTGACCTGTGATTATCCAATCCGTCTTTTTAAGACACCGAGGAGGCTGTTGACTCACTGAAGCGGTCAGAAGCGACCAGCCTTCTTCCCTTAGAAAAGAATCGTGATTTTGATGTCAAAGTCTGATGACATTTCTCATCAAAGGAATAAGATGAGGTGATAATAGTTCTTAAATGTCAAGTTATGCCATTTTTAGTCTTGTCTTGATTGAGAACAGTTACCAGTCACTAGACTTGTGCCTGGTTCCCAACATTTCTTCCCGGAAACCGGTTCCTAGTTCCTGGTTCCGGAACCAGGAGGAACCCAGAAGCCAGTCTGGCAGTAAGTCGAAAGACCAAACAAGAACCAGGATTCAGCTTGTTAATAAATAGAAAGATCCAGCAAGAACCAGGGTCCAGCTTGACAATAAGCCAGAAAATCCAACATCAGCCAGGATCCAGCTTGACATGAAGACGAA